TTTTACCACAAATTACGCTATATTTCTCATTCATAATATCACTAAGAAAGTAAACCTATCACTTTTACATTAAAGTAACAGTACTGAAAATGGCTAAGTTTTTAAAATTTCCTTTCAACTAACAACAAATATAAAGTGGACAAGAAGAGCATTTTCACCAGAATAGCATGTTTTAGGTTACAAGCAGCCATCGAGAAAACCTGAAATAAAATAGAATCACTCTTTTCAGCTTAAAATGGTATTCTTGCTTTTTCGAAAAATACCTTTCAAAAGTAAAATGACATTATTAGCATAAGAGTTAAACTTGGGCACTGTGGTCGATTGTAATTCCATTTCAGTTTCTTCATTAGAAATATCACACAGTGAAATAGTAGCGTTGACTGCATGACGTTTCAGATACAATTTATTGTCCATATTCATATCAGGTAACTAACTCCACAACTTCGAAACAGTCTTTATATGTTCCTAATTCTCTATCCTTCTCCGTGATGTCAAGGCTAGTAGAATTTTCCACATATCTGGGACAGGTGCAGAATCATTTCGATTGCTGCATGTATTTCGTGTTGATTGGATAAACAAAGATTCAGTCGGTTATCAGTCTCTCCCTCCTTCCACCCAACTAAATTAGTTTTCAACACTGTCACTCTATCCCACCCTACTGTGTGATTGTGTGTCATTGTATGCAGAGCTATAGGTGAGCTTTTCTCTAGATTTCTTATCTTGTTAGGATCTACTCATCTTGATTTAGCTGAGTATTTGTGCTCTGTTATTCTGGTTTACCAGATCCCTTGCAATGGTTGCCAGGTCAAGTATATAGGTCAAAGCAGTCAGTCTACCAGGGTCGATTAGAATAACAGAGCACAAAAACTTAGATCTTAAATGTAACAATACACACTAAAGTAGTGTGACTAAGTACCTAATAGGGTAAACGTTTTTCATGAGTTTTGCAAACGTTTACACATTGAGCAGCCTCTTGAGCTTAACGCTGCCGTTTGTCAAACAGCTGAGTTTGACAAAGTACCCTCTCTTCCAATCTGTCGGTTCCTTTACTTCCTCCCTTGCAAACCTTCTGCAGTAGGGGTGTGAGCATGTCCGCTGTTGTCTCTGTGTCTGTTGTCAGTGCTCCTGGTGGAATTGCATCTGGTCCTGTTGCTTCCCCGCATTTCAGCTGTTTTATGGCATTCAGGACTTTACTTCTGGTCTTATCGGATGGCCTGTGCTCACTGGTAGTTCCGCCGTTGCTGGTTGTATTTCTGGAAGAGTTGTAGGTGGTGATGGTGGTCGATTCAAGAGCTTTCTGAAGTGGTCAGCCAATCGTTTCTTTTGTTTTTCCTCTTTGGCAGCTAAGTCTTCTTCACTATCTTTCATTGGTTTCGTCTGTGTTGATATCTTCCCTCCCAGATAGTAACCTGGTTATTTGATACAATGTTGTCAGGTCTCTATCTCTCCTACCTGCAGCCTGTTCTGCTTCACTTGCCATTAGGACATTAAGCCTCTCATAAAAATTTATCTATAAATCGAATGAATTTAGAATGTTCACTTTTGCTTTATGCAAGTGACTCCAAATACCACCCAAGTTACAGCTAAAATAACCAACTAGCCCTCTTCATTTTGGTTGGAAAAGTAGTTTATTTTGTAAAATAGAGAAATCTGATTGGTTATTTTACCAGCTGCCAGAGTAACCCTTAGAGTCACCCGACGTATTCAGCTACCCGGATAAACATGAAATTGCTTTATCATTTGGTAGTTGACTGCAACATGTGACTAAGCAGGGAAGTCAAATTGAGCCAGCCAACAATACTGTAGGTTAATTAATATCATAATTTAACCAGCCTTATGACTCAGAACAAACATTTATAGATGGTCAGAAAGCAAGCGGGAATGAAATTGGACGCTACTACCTTCGTTTACTCTTTTCACTTATGTATCAGCTAACTGAAAACTTTAAGACATCCCTCTACCTCTTTTGTTTAAAGGTAGCTCAAAGTTTAATAAGCTTTTTCAACAGCCGTTTCCCCCTATTATACAACTCCTCATGAACGCACACCCACCACCCCACCAGGGATCGAATCAAATCCCTCAGTGTTCCGTGGCCAACACATTATCATTGAGCTACTGGGTTGGCACCCACTTATCCATATTTCTTATTTCTGTCATCTCATGATATAACGCGACCTCCATCCAATGCCTTCGTTGAGTACCATCCCCTATGTCCAACTTGATTGCCCCCACTAGTCACGACTTCTGTTTGCAATATATAAAGTTATGAGATAAGGCGAGGTTTTTCGTTAGCTCTGTCAAATATATACATGCTTACTGAATTTCCTGAGAGAAATGCGTTATTAGAAACATGAAATAACTGAATTCTGAAATATCTAATATGAAATAGCAGTTCACACGAGTCTCACATTTTACGCCGTCTGATGACTGCATTTTAGAAACGTCATTTTTTGCTACCAGTTTAGAATTCCTTATCTTTATATCGCCAGTTCAACTGTTTGTCAGTCTCAAGTAGTACTCAGAATTGAGTGTCTTATCAATTACTTGGTGTTTTGCTTTTTTAATATGAAAGAAAAAGGCGTCACTACTTACTTTGCATCCAACTGATGATTCACCTCCACTTTCGTTCTCAGCGATCGTTCGATGACTGAAAACATAACTAGGTGATATAGTAATGAATATAGTTAAACCTGATTTTTAAAACTCCAGTAGCCTTTATAACCTCATAGTGGTGTGGAAATCTTTTAAGTTCCCCAAAAAATTTAGTTGTCAGGACTTCATTTAAATCAAGAAATCAATAACTGCTCAGTAGTCCTCTTTTTATTCTCTAGTAAGCATCATCTGAGAAATAACTGTTACACAACACAATGCGTATAAGGTGAAGAATATAAGTTCACTCAGTTGGTTAAGAGTCCATTGACGTCTAATCAGACATAGTTAAAAGGTTTCTATTCCACAAAAGAAACAAGATTATCGCAGTAATTGTTTCCTCCTGGATCAATCTAGTTCAGTAATCCGTCAATCAGGATCCATTTCACTAATTTTAACTGAGAAGTTCAAATTTGAGAGTTAGATTCACTGAATTCCTGCTGCTCAGAAAATACTACAGAAAACCGCAGTTTCCACTGTTTGGTTATTCAGTAAAGTGAAAAACAGTCGGCCATAGAAATGTGTTTGCGTAAAATAAACCTGTTAAACCTTTCATCTTAGCTTAGTGATGATCAACAAACAAATGACAACTGAGGGTTGTTGTACAGCTATTACTGCCTATATTACAATTCCTCCATGAGAAAACTCACTGTCTTTATTCAGCGCAATTCTCAAAGGATTCGGACACTGTCAAAACTATACTAGTCTTTGAAACAATGGAACTTGGCCTGGCAGTTAACATTTCAAATTTTATCTTAGTTATCACATAAACTGACTCTTTATCTAGTGCATTCGTTTCATTGTCCCTGTGTATTACCTTTCCAGACTTACAAGCCATAACAGTATAGTGTGCATTTATACTACACCAACGTTTGGTGTAAACTACACGTAACAACTTACCAGGAATTCCTAATCTGTCCACTTGAAACACAGATAACATATATAGAATAATTTGAACCATGGGCGCTGGTTGGAATCCTACAACAGTCCAAATTTTCATTTGACGTTCAATCATTCGGTATCAATAATAGTCTGTTAAACCACTGCTATATCAAATAATCAAAATGGTAATATAAAGCATAGTTTGTAGTAGACAAGAAAAGCACAAAACAATCACATTAACCACAAGCTTTTGTCTATTTCTCACAATTTTCACATAGAAATAGGATGTATTCACTTTTTTGAGAGTATTTTTTTTAACTTTAATAACTTTTTTTACCACAACTTCATGTTTAGAAAATGAACTGGTAGTTTTTATTCTTGGTTGGCATAGTAACGATATTCATTTGTTTCCCTAACTTTTAATTGGTTAGTAGAGTGTTATTATGTTGTCCAGTTGTCGGTAAAGAATGTCGTGGTTGGCCAAGACCATCTGCTTTTCTGTTAAATATAATGTAAAAAAGAGTATGTACTATTCTAAGAAGTAAATTTCTTTATCACAAAAAGTGTAGGAAAACATTTATAAATGGAACGTTTGAGTAGGATAAAGCGGAAAAGGAACTATATAACGGAAATGTAGTCAATATTAAATCAGTGATGTTTGTGGAGAACTCCTTGTACAATACATTCATATCTAACACCATTATAGTCATTGATACGACTTATAATAACAGTCAGAAGGAAAATACTTCAGCAATAATTAGTGATCATTCGGTTCTGTTATTACCGGCCACATATTCCACCTTGTAACATAGATACGCACAGAAACATTCAGAATCTGAAATGGAAAGTCAACATCCTTCAGATAATTCACTTGTTCATCAAAAGCCTAGTATTCGAACCAATGGATTGAATGCTCTACAGCAAAATATTGCACCCATATCCGACTTTGACCACTATAACTATAACTATCATAATGTTATTGGTGTCAGTGATTATCAGAAATCTCAGGAAGCAATCAATATGCAGAACTTAAAGACAGAAAATAATGTTAAAGCTTTTAGTGAACATGATGTTGGGCACAGAATATTCGAAATTAATCACAACAGAATACCTTACTTACTGAGAAGTCATTCATTTAATCCTCACGATTGTGCTGATGAATGTCATTACAATGATGGTACAGCTGATATTGCTCACCACAGTAATAAAGAAGATTATCTTCACATTATGAAACTATATCCAACAGGATCTTTAGAACCACCTCAACTACCACCACGTAGAAATCAACGATCTGTTGATTCACTGATTTCTACTGTGACAAGATCACCATCAGATACCTGCTTGATTAGTAGGAAGGTGAGTTACTTCTGTTTTATTCTCATATGGTTGTTTACAATTTCATTTGTTGATTTACACTTTTTAACAACCATAGAAATAAACCAGTTTGTATCTAATTTAATACTGTCTAGTCGCTGACTTATTACGATTCGGAAACAAGTCCATCAGCAAAGTATTCACAAGATTTCAGTTATCATATAAATGATGAAAGCAAGTCTTCTGCTGAAGTACTACCAAGGGATAACAAGTCTAAGATAACAAATGGAGATCCAAGCGTTTTGAATACGGAGACGCCTAATACATCAGTCTTCGAAAAATATCCTGATAATAATATTAGTAATTACAATACTGGTTACAACACCAACACTGATCTAGCTAATGTTGAAATTAACAAAATGACAGGTGAATATTACTTCGATGAACATACCTTACCTAATCATCAAACTTTTCGTCAAAAGATACCAGAAGAGTGTAATGTATTCACTGCTATACCTCAAATAGTCGAGCAGAATGATAAGTTGTCGCAAAAATTTACCGGAACAGAAGATAATACAGCGTTTGTCAACTATGAAGATAGAAAGATTCAACCACAAGAATTTAATACAGTGCAGATACCGAGTACAGAACCTAGAGATTTACGAAGTGTAAGCATGTTTGAATACCCATTATATGCAATATCCTAGGAGATTTTACTCAATTTTATATTGAAATGCCAATGTATATTGTCTGTTTTCTTGAACTAAAATTAGATACAATAATGTTTCAAGTCGGTACTGTTGACTTTGAAGAGGACAAAAAATGATTTGATAGCTAATACTAAACGGAATAAATGTTACGTTAGTTGGTTGGAGGCAATCGGCAGAAAGTACTTGGACTAGGTGCTGTATTTGTTAGCACTCAACGGAACTGATATCTCGTCCGAGACTCGAACCTGCGTCACCCAATATTGTAGTCAGCGGCTTTACCACTGAGCTACTCGGGCCGTGGTTGACCTCCTGTTAAGGTTCTTATTTTCATCAACTTTGACAGTGAAGACAGAAATCGGAACTTTAGTTAAAACTTACGGATTGTTCACAGGAATTCAGTGTCTGGAACCTTCAAATCAAAAGGAGCTTAAAATAGGGACTTTGCCAGCTCATATTTTGAAACATATTTTATCAGGAAAGACTGAAGATTAAATAGGGTGGGAGCTGTAATGAATTCCGCAGAAGTGTTTTTGAATTAGTACACTGGGAATTCTTAATACTCTGAAAATTAGCCTATTGGTGATAAAATCAAAGTCTTGTACTTTGTGGTTCGCATAGGAATACAAGTTGCAGTTAATTCCAAATGGGAAGTGTATAAATTATGTGTCGATAGAGTAAAGCAAACAAAATAAATTGATTTTAGAATAAGACCTTGGATTTTTGACGGATATTAAACCAGTTTCGATTATTATTCTTTGTCTCTTGGGTTCCTAATGGAACATAGGGCTTCAGCAGTACGTCTCCACTCCACTCTCTCCTCTGCAAACTTTTGAACCTGGCTCCACGACAGTCCACAACCTCTCATTTCCTCCTCGCACGATCTCCTCCATGTCACCCTAGGACGCCTAATTCGTCGCTTCCCATCTGGGTTACACCCGAAGGCCTGACGCGTGATGTCTCCAGTTGGCCCTCTCAGTGTACGCCCAATCCATCTCCACTTCCTTCTACATATTTGTTGAGCGATGGGTTCTTGGTTGGTTCGTTGACATCCACCCAGAGTTCCTTGTAGCTTATTGTTTCCGGCCATCTGATGTTCAGTAGCGAGCCAGCGTAGGCAGTTGTTGATGAATATCTGTAGTTTGTTAGAAATGCCTTTCGTATTGCTCCAAGTCAAACATTTATCATCATAAGTATAAATCACACATTTGATTTCCTAATATTTTCATCATTTGCTGACGGTGAGTTTTAATCGAGATTGCAGTTAACCTATTAGGTCAGTTGAAATGATATGAACGGAAATTAAAAGACTTGTAGTATTATAACGTTTAAAAAGTCCTGTTTATGCTTAAGAAGGGTTTCTGAAGATCAGATAACCTTTTTTATCATGAAACTATAGCATAGCTTTCAGTTTCTGTATAGAAAGCTTCCAAAGTCATTTATAACTGACAATGAAAAACCAATCACTTAGTGGGTCTAAATCACTTCTTACACAATGTCATTATTGCTAATGAATACTGGTGTTTCCTAAAGTATAATGGCATTCTAAACATCTCTCTGAAGGGTCAATCTTGTTTAAAATCACGCTATGGGCGTGTCCTTAGATTTTAGTGAAGAATATGTTAGCAGTAAAGAAAATGGAACTGTGATTTTCTATAAAAACCATGTATGAGAATTTGTATATGTTCATTGGGTTATGTTTACTTAGTAATGATTAAAGATTAGAATACAATCGATTTTCCGAGTCACAAGTTTAAATCGACTGATAGTAAATAAAGTCCATTTTATAAGAGATTAAGGCAGAAGACAGAAGAAAGTTGTGGGAAAAGTAAGGTACAGAAGGAGTGTCTTATAAAATAGCACAAAATCAATACCAAATCATTGAACAGTGATCAATATCATGCTTTCCAGTTCTTAACTGTGATCGAGTTTGGTCATCAGGCTAAGTTATGGACAATTATAATACATTCCATTCGGCGCAGAATGGTTGAAGCTAATATCCTAATTTTGAGGGAGTTGTGGAGATTTGGAATTATTTCAAGTTGTTATTCATCGTAGACTGACATCAGTTGGAGGAACAAAGGAAACCTGGGAGCACTGGACAGCTGTTTCGTCCTAGTATGGGACTCCTCAGCAGTGCGCACCCACGACCCCACCAGCAGGGATCGAACCCGTGACCTTCAGGTTCCGCGGCCAGCGCGTTACCATTGAGCCACTGGGTGGCGGTCGCGTTATATATCGTGAGCTAACAGAAGTTGGAAATATGGAGCATTGGATTCTGACCCAGTAGCTCAATGGTAACGCGCTGGTCGCGGAACCTGAAGGTCGCGGGTGGGTCGTGGGTGCGCACTGCTGAGGAGTCCCATACTAGGACGAAACAGCTGTCCAGTGCTCCCAGGTTTCCTTTGTTCCTCCAACTGATGTCAGTCTACGATGATTAACAACTTGAAACAATATCCTAATGGTAATGTTACTGTATCAATTGCCGAGTAAATACAATTTTAATATTTGAGAGACCGTTCAAGTTTACGAAAGGGGTTAGCTCTGAATGTGAATGTCTACTGAAATTAGTCCCAAGAGTTTCTTTCTGACTAATAGAAGTGGTAATAAAGTACTTTTCATCTCACTGACTTATTGACAGTAAAGGTTAAAAGGTATTTAGGTTTCAATGGATAATTATCCCTATTTTTTTGATGAAAACTGAATTAAAAGGGTGAAAGCTGAGTTACAACTCTTTTCCTTTCGCAGATGTAAATGATTTGTCCTGAGGTAGCTCAACTGTCAGACTGTACATGTTAGTCAATTAACGCTGATATCACTTCTAAGTTGATTTCAAAAACTGTATCATCCTTTAGACAGTAACCTCAAAGAACAATGAAATGTTTCAAGCTAAGGGCAAACAACACTCAGAACATCATCCACATCAAATAATACTAAAAAACTTCACTAAGTACAATATCCTACGTTTTGTTTTAACATAAAACCTTAATTAGTGTTGACAGGTTTCAGAACTGTGGAGAAGTAGTAGATTACTACCCTCATTGAAATCCGCGTCATTTCTTTTTATAATTTCTCTGGAATACCAAGTGTGTACTATGCACTACTAGATTTTAGCATCTTGGGTTTTTAAGCATATGGAACTTCGTAAACTTGCACATTTGGTCAAACACCTATCTCAACTTGAAAGACTCGAGTATTAATAATAACGGGTAGGATAAATACGAACTATATCATGATAAACTTGGCTGAATATTACAAAAACTGCCATCGAACAGAAGTCACACCAACTGTTTAAATAAGGACATATTTACTATCAAGACAGTAAAATATACTATTGATTACTTTTCAGTCTATATAGAATCTCACATCTTTGGCGTGATTATAAGCAAAAACGTTTGCTCGAAGTCTTATCCAGTGATTAAAAATGTTTCACTACAGGTCACATATATTAAGAGAATAATAATGGAATCATACTCTACCACAATTTAAGGGTAACGTGAAATAACACTTCAAGACTAATTTTATCGACTATTCTTGTGTAGAATTAAATGGTTTATCAACAAAAATGTCAATTGTTGGGTACTTTTTGCATACTTGATTAGAGATAACAACTCTTATAGAGCTTGTTTTAACCGCAGAAGTAATCAAGTCTGACTGCATCCAGCCGGGAGGAGAAAGTTCAAGATACTATCACTTGAGTATAGAGAACAGGTCAAGCTGACTACATTCTTCTAAGCCAGCTGTGCTCTAAAAACTAAATATTTTCATTATCTGTTCAAACGTGTCATTACAAATATCAAAAAATAATAGCGACTAATACCCATTGTACGTGAGGTAGGTAGAGCACTGGCATTAGAAGCGATGGGTAGGAGATTCGAGTCTCACTGAGAACAACATCACTCACTGGGGTGCAGGTACATACAGCTGATGAGTCCCAAACAGGATTCCACTGCTAGCCACGACCAAGTCAGTTATACAAGATACTTTTTTCTCTACACCGTCCATATGACTTCTCCCTGGAATACAGCACACACTGAAGGTCAACCTGTACGACTACAAGACCTAATCACCAGTAGATATCGTTCAAACCTTTCAAAGATTCAAGGATGTATTATTACAAGATCCTAAAAGAATAGTAAAGTAAGATCAACAAAAACTCTGTAGAGGAGGCGAATACGTGTAAGGAAATAGCTACACTTTGAATAAATATTAGGTAAAGAAACAGCATGCGTTGTTGAATCAGTATTGATGAAACATGAGTGAAATCAGTTTATACCAGAAAGATGAACTTAAAATCCAATCAAAAGTCACTGAACGCATAATTATCTGAGATGATGAAAGTTATTGACATATCTGCAGATGGCTTTCACAGAAAAGAAGGATGGTTCAGGACACAGGACAACAAACTTCAGTACAGAACAAATGTACTTCTTTTATGGTCAATGCGGATTTAAGTTTTAAGGTAGTATTCATCAAGGACTGCAATCAGTTAGAGAACCGCTGAAAATCTGGGAACACTGGACAGTTGTTTCCTCCTAGAATAGGCCTCTTGGATAGTACTCACTAACGATTCCACCTCAGATCGGATTTAGGACTTTCAGATTTCCCAGCATGCGTGTTAATCACCCAGACAGTCGGTCCACAGCTTCCTGTATCTGTCAGTTAGTGATATAATGCAACTATCTACTAAGATCTTCAGTTAGTACCCACCTCACTTAGTGCTTGTATAGTGACAGAAGTAGGAAACTGTGGACCACTGAAATCTGGCCCAATGACTGAATGGTTAACGAGTACATTGTGAAACCTGAAGGTCTTGATTTCAATCCGTGGTAAAGTTACTGAGGAGTACTGCTGAGGAGCTTCGTACTAGAACGAGACAGCTGCCCGGTGACTTTAGGTCTTTAATGGTTCTCCAACTGATGCCAGTCGGTGATGAATACTACCATAAAGATTTTTCTTTATTCAAATGACAAAGCAGTGTTTGTTTTAATTAGAAAAAGACTGATTGAGCGAAGAAATATATTCCTTTTCAGCTGGGTCTTCATCTTGGACAATCTGATGTTATTGCTATGGAGTCACCCCTTGGCCCACTCTTAGCGGATTTTTTTCTGGCAAAACTTGAGAATGGTCCACTGAACGATACTATTAGCCGTTTAGAGTTATATTGTCGTTACATGGATGATACCTTTATAGTTCTCAAAAGTGAGACTGATAAGAGTACTATTCTGAATAAGTTCAATAGTGTTCACCCAGCAATCAACCTCAAAATGGAAGAGGAGAAAAATGACAATATCCCATTTCTGGATGTCCTGTTGGTAAGAAGGTCAGACGGAACCCTGAAGCGAAGTGCTTATGGAAAGCCAACATCAACAGGTCAATATACGCACTCCTTTAGTGCTGTACCCCTCCAATACAAAAGGAACCTGGTGAAATGATTAGCATACCGTGCCTCAGCTACTTGCTCAGAGGATGCTATAAAGGAAGAGTGCACCACCATCCGTGATCTGATTAGTAAGAATGGCTGGCTACCCAGACAAGTTTGTAACTAAGCACATGAATATTACGAGGGTCAAAGCAACAATGCAAACAGTTCCTAAGAAGCAAAGCTTCATGAGGCTGCAATTCAAGAGTGACATTGCCAGTGAGATAATCACACAAGGCATAAAAAGAGTCTTGCATAAAGCATTCCCAGCCGCTAAATTATGTCCCGCCTTCTACAACCTCGCGATTCTAGGTGCAAGAAATAAAGACAAACTGCCTGATTCAGCCACTTCTATGTGCATTTATCAATTCAACTGCTCCTGTGGAGCGAGTTACATTAGGCGTACAATGAGGCAGTTCCATCGTAGAATTTCTGAGCACCACCCATCATAGTTGAACAAGGGACACATTAGAATCATAAAGAGGTCCATACTTGAACACTTAGTTGACACAGGACATCAAGTGGTTACTGGAAAAGCCTTCAAAATCATCCATGAGATTCCAATTGATTTACCTCATGGATTACGCACTCGCCTACTTCACATAGCAGAGGCGATTGCAATCCACCTTTACAAACCTAGTCTTTGTATCCAAAAGAAGTTTGTTCGACCACTTTCATTACCGTGGCCGTCAACATGATGTAACTTCTAGGTTTATTTTTTACACCTCTTCCCCCTTCTTGTTTCTATCAATATTCATATCTCCTATTTTAGTAACTCTATTGATTATTTACATCATTACTTCCGAAATATCACCACGTGATTGGTAATTTGATTAAATTGTAAAACTATACGTATTAGTGTAGAGCCCAAAATGAAGACTTAATTGAAAAGGAATATATTTCTTCGTTCAATCAGTCTTTTTCTAAATGTCTAAATGGAAATATTCGTCATAATTTTTTGATATTAGGCAAAGCAGTCTATTGAAGTGCTAAATGAAGTTATTTTAGCCTAATAGCTGTGTATCTTTAAAGTTTGATGAAGTATTTTAACATCCCTAAGACTGTTTTCTGCATCTGATGTGGTTGGAAATGAAAGTCTCTTGTTGCTAGCGAACTTCAGTAAAAGAAACTAAAACAATTTTTAATATCCTGGTTTAAAGTAGACATTATGACACTGTACAACATGCAAGTTAACGTTTCCACATAAATTCGTACAATAGACTAAGACGTACACTTGTTGTATAAAGGTTAATAGCATTATGTCTTAGCCTCCATAGACGGACAAGATCTACTGATTTATAATCAAAAGGTTGAAAGTAGGTTATGAAAACCATTGAATTCCAGGTTTGCATTACTTTAGTGTCACCACTTTGGGTTGAAAGGCATACTTTCTAAAACAAAAATGTGAAACTTTCAGTTCATTTGTCTAGAAGGCAAATATTAAAAGAATTATTGAATTGAATGTTTACACAACAAAATTGTATTCAAAGTATGTAACTATTATAACCGTAAATCGCCTATGACTATACCGACTGCTTTTATTCAATACAATTTTCATATGATAAGCCTATTACCATTAATATTTGATTATTCAATGCATGAATTAATGAATCATTCAATTCATAATTACTTTAGAATCGATTTTGTTTAATTTCTACTGTAGCATCACAACTATCCTAAGCGTAATACAAAGCTAAACAGTCCACAACCATATGATAGCAGTCAAATAACATCTCCAGAAGATAACCAGTTAAGTACATCAATACCTATACAATCATCAAATATTTTCGAATCTTCGAATGATGAAAACTTACCATCATTTCCAATCCTTCAAACAAGTCTCCCATTGAAAACAGTTCAGTCAATTAAGCAAACATTTAATAATCTTACAGATCATAGTCTAAATCTTACAGATGGAAATATGAAATATCGATCTTTGCATGAAGGTGTAGAAGAAGGGAAATTTCCTTATACAAAAATGAATTCAAAAACAATAGCTGATGACACATCCACTGATACTGTTCATCCGGTGAATATTGACAAAAGTGACATTTCAATGAATAATCATGACAGTAAAGGAAAACCAATATTGAATCCTGGTCAAAATCCCCCAGCACCTAGTAGTTCATCTAGTCAACGTCGAATGATAAGTGGGGCAACACTTTCTTTCCATCATATCTCCTATGAAGTAAAACTACGTAAGACAACCTGTGCTAAACCAATAGTGAAAACTGTTTTAAATGACGTCAGGTAAGTTTAAACACTTTGCTATTTCCCTAGTCTTGTATACTTTTTCTGACATAGTTTACAGTCGTTTGCAATCAGTTACCTTGAGTATCAGTTGTTTGATCTTACTTGAGTTTGTTTACGTTGTTACTGGTGAACTGAAAATATTAAATATTTTGAATTCACATAATTTTGTAAAAGTCATTAGTTCATTGTGAATTTCACTTAACTGTAAACAAGATCACCTCCGCAAAGTACTTGAGTTTATATTATTTATAAGCTTTTACTTAAGAAAATATAAAATGTGACTGACTAGTGAATAACTGACAACAGTTGAATGCAGTAATCATCCTTAGGTTCACTAAATAGACTGTGTCAGCTCTTCAGGTGAAAGTTAGTGTAGCTACCTCTTGACCTAATGTAAGAAATGTAAATCTTAAGTGTGATAAATCCTCAAAGATTATGAATCAGCAGTCGATTAGCTAAACGGTACACAGAAAGCATTTAAATCGGTCAAGTAACCCCTACAAATATAATAACATTTCAGGCTTAGCATATACTTATAATTATGAAATTTTTACTCAATACCTCTGGCCACATTTTGACTACCTAGACAATTGTTTATGTAGTTTATAAACCTAAAATACAATACATAATTTTCCGCTTCAAACACTTCACATACTGTCAAGGGAGTCTCATGGTAACTGATTCGTTTGCTTTTGGAATACTTAAATTAACCAAAAACAGATTGAGTATAGCAGAACATGGTTTTTGATTCGTTTTTATGAGAAACGGGGTAGTTTCAAAAAAGAATCATCGCATGTATCAGGATATGTACTGTGTTGTATTAGAAATGAAATCTTACCGAAGAACAATAACATGCTTTTCCAAAAAATGTCTTCCAAATTTACTCACACATGTTGTTAACATTCATAAAAAGTGCCTCCCAAATAGATGAGTTATATACACCTTGGCATGTTTCGCTGGTTTCATCATAGATACATTCATTCCACAACGACTGCACTATACATAAAGGGTTGTTTCAGGTCTTAATTTGCGTGAAGGCGGTAACCATAAATTGGCGTAGCTTAAAATCATCGGAAATTAGTGAGTATTGGTTAAGGATTTTGCTCGACTTCAAGGACATGTATTGGTTGTAATCTCCACCAGCATGACTTCATGCAGGTTTCAAATGATTTCCAAAATTAGTTGTATTAAATGCCTCATATTTTTGTAGTCATAGTGAAATTTATTGAAACAAATAAGTTGCATTAATTTGGTGCCAGAAGTTAAAAATTAGATTAGGAAGAAGTCCTGCTTGACCTAGATACCGCGTTTTTGATTACTCATTAGCAAGGTTTATCTCAATAAATAAGGAAACTAGTGACCGTATTACGAATTCAGGCAGCACCAGTGCTCACCACTAAGTAGTAGACAGTTATCTATTGGTGACAAAGTTGTATTCATCATCCAGTCTTAAAAGAGATCAGCTGTAACCTGAATACCTTAATATTAAAGTTTATGACTTCATCCGTGGGTGACACAAGTTCGGATGTTACAGGAGACATTAGTTCCTTTGGAAATTCAGATATGCCTTTCTCACGCCTGTTAAGAAGCATAAAACATAGATCAAGCATAAGTTTTTGTCCGACTGACTCCTAACATCTAACATCGTAACACAGTACACTACAGTACCACGTCACTTAGCACAGTGGCCATATTACAAATAAGACTGAAAGACTTCAGTCACTGCTGAGAACTTCGAATGAAACAGATACATCGGTTACTCACTGGTGACTAGTTCATATTAAGGAAATTCAACGTAGACTGAAGAAAATGGAACATGAATTTGATTGCTTTCCAGTAACTAGTCAATATGCTTAGCCCTGCACTACATGGAGTCAGTCGACGACCGAAAAACTCTATGGTAACGTCGACAACTGTAATACTTGGTGACGTGGGTTTGAATCTCACAGGGGACATCAATTCTATCGACGTTGTAGACATGCCTTGTTGATGATTTTCAATAGATACAAAACCTGGGTCAAAGGTTTCCTTCTGACTCTTTCAAACCATCTTACATTTGCTGAAGTGTACCATATTAGTGAGTCTCCTAGCCCGCTGATCTCATTACAAAATGATCAATATTATTTGACCAGCATTCGGAACTAAACAACATGAAACTGGTTATTTACTAGTGACCAATATGTGTAAATAACTACTGTATATGCCTCTTTTCAATTCTATCTCTCCAGGATAAGACTTTTCAAGTCGGTCAATCTGATAGTGAAGTTTTAGCCTGATGTATTTACATTTGCAACTAATACTGACAATATGACATCATTTATTCTTAGGAATTTTCTCTAATGTTAAGAAAAAGGAAAAATGTCATTGGTTGAAGTGAATGGACATGGGATGACTAACCACTGATACCAGTTGATTGAATCTTTTACCACTTAATGGCATGTAGAAAATTTGCATTTACAAAGAAATAAGTTGCATTCAGAATTCAGTATGCCAAGAATTTTATGAATATTATTCACCCGCATATATTTACATTAATTTTAGTGGGATACTTCGACCTGGAATGAATGCACTTATGGGACCGACTGGTGGTGGTAAATCTTCGTGAGTGTAAATAATTAGTTGAATTGCACATTCCATGATTCATTTTTCAGCGCTTATCTGATATGAACTAAGTGTTTACTTATTTTTTGACGGTTTTCACTTTGCTACTGATAAGAATGCCACGAGAGCACATTACTATAACTGGAAACGTGTACCTGTTCCCTAACATTTCCATTTATAATCAGCATTCGATACTAAGAACTAACTCTGATGTGATACTAGATACTGGAAACGGATGAACCGTATAACCTTCATTACAATTATGACTTACCTTCATTGCAGCCTGTATAACCATAATCTTGAATAAATGCTTCTCACTTCTCTAACTCCAGCCATTCTTCACTTCCCTTAGGAATATGTTTTCGTCTCGACTCACTGCTTGTTGCGTGATCCAGTCCACCACAATCAGGAAGATGGTCGGTGATAGTAGACAGCCTTGTTTCACTCCTGTCTTCACTTCAAAAGCATCACTGAGCTTCCCATTGTGAATTACTTGGCATGTGGTGGTTGTTGAATGAGATTGACAAAAGCTTGTGGTATTCTGTCGTGTTGAAGCAACTGCTAAATAACCTCTCGGTCGACGCTGTCAAAGGACTTTTCAAAATCGAGGAAGTTGAGGTAGAGATCCAGTTGACTGCCATTCTGTACTTTGTTCTATGATGATGCGAAGCGTTTCAATTTGGTCCGTACATGATTTGTACTTCCTGAATCCAGCCAGTCAGCCTGTTCGGGTCGTAGTTGTGAATCCAGCGCATCCTTCAGTCTCTCCAGGATGATGTGGCTCAATATTTTGCTTGCTTTGGGTGGACAGGAGCGTGGTTCCGCGCCAGTTCTTGCAGATATTTAGGTCTTCCTTCTTTGGAAGTTTGACAAGGTAGCCCTTCTTCCAATCAATAGGCAGGTACCTTTCCTTCCTTCCTTCCAGGCCTTCTGCAATAGTGGTGTGAGCATGTCCGGTGTTGTCCCTCCGTCTGTTGTCAGTGGTTCTGGTGGAATTCCTTCTGGTCCTACTGCTTTCCCACACTTCAGTGGCTTTATGGCGTTCAAGACTTCTCCTTTTGTTGGAGGATTTGTGTTCATTGGTAGTTCTATAGCTGGACTGCTGGTGGTATTTCTGGATGAGTAGCAGGTGGTGGTGGTGGTGGTGGTCGATTCAAGAGCTTTCTCAAGTGGTCAGTCAATCATTTCCTTTATCTCTCTTCTTTCCTAATCAGATTTCCTTCATCATCTTTTATTGGTTCTATCTGTGTTGATCTCTTCTCTCCCAGATAGTGACCTGGTTATTTGATACAATGTTGTCAGGTCTCTATCTCTCCTACCTGCAGCCTGTTTTGCTTCACTTGCCACTGTGTCGTGTAAGTGTCTTTGTCTTTTTGTGCACCCTTTTTCACTTCTCTGTCCAGTGTTTTTTACATTTTACTCAGATCCTCTTCTCGTTGTGCATCCTTGCACTGGTCTATCTTCTGCTTCACCATCACTATCCTCCTCTCCCTACTCTATCAGCTTCCAGGTATCCGCCAAGATCCATTCCTTGTCTTCTTTCTTCTTCCTCCCTAATACTGTTGTGCAGGTTTCTTTCCACATCTCTTTCAAAGAGTTCCAGTGTTCTTCCACACACGTTTCTTCAGGGATGTTCCTCGATATCTCCCATTTTGTCTTAATGGCTGGCTGACATGAAGATATCCTTTGTAGTTTCGTCCTTCAGTTTCCGAGTGTTGTACTTGAACTGTGGTCAATCACCAGCTTCCTTAAATTGATGGCTTTCAATTTGATTTGGAAGGTTCTATGCACTAGGTTGTGGTCTGAACTTACATCTGCTCCTCTTCTTGACCTTGTGTCAAGTATGCTGCGTCTCCATTTTCTTGAGATTGAGATGAAGTCGATCTGATTTTTAGTGTGTCCTGGTGTCTGGTGAAATCAAATCCATGTCATTTTGTGGATATTCTTGGGCTTGAACAAAGCCACAATATGTAGCACAAATTTTATATAAGGTTACCTCAAGATTATATCATTTAAACTTAGTCCTATGTTATTAGATTCTCCGAGTTAACATATGTATCGGAAAAATTGCCACCGTACCAAAAACACTTCACAATCTGTATTTCTCAAGTTATGGCACTACTTTACCAGACACCTTTGCAGCAAAAATGCTACAAGACTCACTGAAACATCTGGACAAACTAGATATCTTTATCATTTTAGAGTTAGTAGTAATGACCGTTTCGCTTGCGAAGGAAATACGCTATGCCTCGTCATATTTTCCCCTGTGGATTAAAACGTTTTCAGTTAACTTCATACAGGCTAATTACAAGAACCGTATCGATCTGTTATGTCAAACCAGTCAGTAGGTTTCACTTTTTTTGCCATTATTCTAGTTCGCTGTAATAAAATATGAACTGATTACTGTATGTTTGAAGGGAATGTAATTCGAGCAAGGGTCTATTTCTTCGCTACATTTTAATATCTACATGTCTAACATCCAAGTAAAGAGGTGAATGGACAGTTTTACTGAGGAATACTCCATGCCAAAAGCTTATTGTACGGATTTCTTTTAATTTTAGAAGGTTCTACACAGGCCACATAAGTTATAGAATTATTCAGAGACTCGAGAGGGTTTTAGAAAATCCTTTGGCTAACTGTGATCCTCCGCTGTAAACTAAAAGTTATTTGTTCGAAGAAATCTCCCGTTTCTTTAGTAGACTAACGTTATACGCGGAAAAGGCAGTTACTTGCATGAACGTGCGATTTAGTGTAATTACTTTCATCTTAAATGAAAATTTAGAAAACATTCTTCTGAGAATAGGTTTTAGAGATTCATGAAAGTTTTAAATGAAACTTTTCTAAGATTACTAGTCCTCTTCCTAAAACATTTCACTGATATATACGGTACTTGGCGAAAGCTGTACTTTATAGGGAAAATTGAAGATTCAATGAAATATGAACTGTGCCTTATAGCTGCGCTTAAACCACCGGTGTAATATTTTCAGTGTATTATGTGTTACTTGGGTAAAGGTGACTGGCGGAATGTCCTGGATGCAGGTTTTGCACTTGTTAGCTCCTGTCAGCAAGGAGGTTCTGAAAATTTAATGAAACTGATGCGACACTTGTGATTTGAACCCACGCCATCCACTGCTGCAGTCAGGGACTTTATCAATGACCAACCAATGTATTCGGTCCAATCTTACGGGAATTCATTCGTGATCCGAATAGCTCAATGGGAATGTCATTGGTTGCAGCACTGAGCAATGCTGATTAAAGTCTCAAAAGGGACATTATTCCTTCACTGTTACAGACGAACCTTTCTAATGAATACAAGCAATCAGGAAACCTGGGTCCAAAACTTCCTGTCAGTTGCCTCTAACCAGAAGAAATCAGTCAACATGCACCGTACTAACGAGTCTCCTAGCATGGCAACCACTTTAAAAGGATGGTAGGTAGGATTTGGTTAGTACTTAGGACTAGACAACTTGAAAGTTGTTACCAATCTGTGACTGATCAATATTAGTCTTCACTGTTGTCTGTTTGTGACTTTTATCAAAAATAGTTCTGTAAATTTCTTGAATGTTTGCATTTAACAGAGTTATTTCAGGTTTACAATTATCCACATATGATCCAATGTAATAAGTATGGACAGAAACCGAAACATGTAGTACCACAGATAATTGTGTATCTACCACAGGCATCTTTCTTCAGCTTACAAATTCAGCAGACTTCAGATAAGCACTTCTCTGAAAATAGCATGACAATACAAACGCAATTCAGTTTTCCCTGGTGAAACAGTTCCGGTGAGGAACTGTTCATCGGATAACACCTGACGTGGCTGTCTCGTTCAAAATAATGGTAGAATTGTATCTATTAGGCTTGCCGTATAACTGTCAAACTGGAGAGCATAATATTGTGTTGGGTTTTGAATGTCAGGTTTCAATCAACGAACAGTTCTGAACTCAGGTTTCATGCTTTCTGATATTCACAGCAGTGCGTCAAAATTGATTGACTTACTTTAGTCGGCGGTCAGAGCATAGGACTTAACAGTTACACTGGTTATCACAAATAAACTCTAAACGAAAGAATTCACTCGTAATTTGAACAGTTTATTGGTAAAGTATTCGATATCACAAGTGAATAGATCACGTATAAATATACTCTAGAAAATATGAGTTTTTTCAATGTTGAAGATACATCCCAACGAGTGAAAACGGGTACTTGACCTCACTTCAGGATTTGTTGACTATAGACTGCTGGAACGAAAGATTGTCTTGTTGTATGGCTCCGTAACTACAATGTAAACTTGACGAATAGACATGAATTTTTGTTTGGGTTTAGGTTTCTACATTTTTTTTCAACTGATTAGTCTATCTATGCACGTTTAAGCGATATGATTTTCGGATTTGTTAAAGTTTCAAAGGTGTAAATTTTCACAATCAACAAAACTGCTACACATGTGTGGGAAATAAATTCACATCAGTCTAATTCACTGTTATATATTTCTATTCAGAGTATGCATACAGTCAAAATTACTACTGTGTTGTTAAGATATTTTGAAAAAGCATAAAGTGCCATTTATTTATATTTTTTGTTCTCGCATACAGTACATAAGAAACTAAGGTCAACATGCTTTAGGAGGTCATGAGTAGACAGGTGTATTGCACTTTATTAGAATGACCTAAGCTACATATTGCCTTTTCTTGAATGGCTACTTAATTCCTTGTATAAAGTATGTGACATGTCCTATAATATATGGTGCATCTTTCTTCAGGATAGGATTCATAGTATACCTCAATATTTTAGTCACTTAACTCAAGTCAGAACTTTATTTTCCTTGCTAACATGTTAAATGTACAAATCTGTTAAATCTGATAGGACGAACAACTAACTAATTTCATTTATTACTAAGCTAACTAATAGTTATGAATGTTTAAATATCACTGTATCGGTACACATCTGATGCGGATATTATTCTAGTCCATGTTCTTTCTGATTGAAGAGTTTCTCAACGTATGTTAATCAATTAACTTGTTCATTTGTATGACCTAGTCTTTCCGTGTCAGCCTGAGATTACCATATAAAGCCTTCTAATCACCTCTGTTATTGAAATATAACAATTTCAAGCTTCATGTGTAAATTCTTATATAGCTCCAAGATCTCAAAAAGTTGTTTGTTTGAAATGAGAAAGAGAGACATTGTAAATACACCGAAGTTGTGCTGAGCTGTAAAAATAAGGTGTTATTTCTTATCTAGGTTCGAGAACATGTGCCTACAGCTAAAACCTAGTCCTTTTTTTCATTAGTGAGATACTAAAAATGTGAAGAGCTTTTAACTTCAGGAATTTTTTCAAAATGAAAAATCAAGATATTGAAGACTTTTTGTTTTAATTTGTCCTCTTATTAAAGTCATGCTGCTCCAAAAATAATTCAAAAATAAACAAATTATTGAGAACCGCCCTATTGAATTTCACCTATTCTTTTACCGAAAATCTTAGTCTAATGAGAAACTGGTGCGAAAGCTTTCTCCCCTTTACGAGATTTCACTTGACATTTCTGTATTATACACACAAATTTATTCTCATTGTGTCAAGTTTACTTTGTAATCTGTCTCTGTTTTTAATAGGCTTTTAGATGTATTAGCTGGACGTAAAGACCCGAAGTTTCTATCTGGAAAAGTTTTAGTAGACGGTAGACCACAACCGAAAAATTTCAAGTGTATTTCAGGCTATGTTGTCCAGGTAAATAATATATACAACTGCCAAGTTGAGGGAATAAATTTTTAAACTGTTACTAATTAGAATATTGTCATTCTTATTTTTTTTATGGTCAGTGATTTTCCAACGAGATTTATCGACGATGCAGCTGTCAGCATGGGGACGTAATGATGACCCTATTCAACCAGTGAATAGTCTAGTTTATTTATTTGGATGATGTAAGGTAACAGGGTACTATCCATTTGGTCAATATATTGAAAAACGGAACTCCTTAGTACACGTCCCGATTTAAAGTATGATTGTAAGATGGTTCTATTTCTAATGATAGAAACATTTTGTCATTTTGTAAAACCATTTTACATGGTACAGCGAATGAGCAACAATAAACAAATTCGTGCCTATCAGGCTTCAAAATCGACTCTTCGTTATCGAAGCCAAACATGAATTAAAATTTAATTTTGGCTGACAACGAGATAAATGAGTTCACTCACTTGGTTGTGGCTAGCAGAAGAATCCAGGACGTGCGTGTCAGCCTATTTAGTACTCATCAGTAAGATGTACCTGCACCCCAGTGAATGATGTTGTTCCCACCGAGACTCGAACCCAGTAAGCATCACTTCAAACCCCAGAGCGTAACTCACTAGGCCGTTGAGGGATGACAACCACCTCTTGTACAAAGGATATTAGTTATTACTACTTGTTGATATACTTGCAGTTCTCCGCTGTTAAAATGGATTGAACTGTTCGACCTCTATTGGTATATGAACTCCTACGCAGATGCCCTATATCGCCGGAATATTTATTATGATAATCTAGTTGTTTGTGACTAGCAGAGGGATTTACGATGCTCGTTTCATCCTAATTGGGACCTGTAAGCTGGAAGTGCTCACTGGGGTGCAGGTACATTTAGTTAACGAGTCCCAAATAAGGTGAAACGCGCATCGTGGATTCTTCTGCTAGCCATAAACAAGTATAATACCATAGTTATAAATGAGTTCAGTTCATAAAGCAGTATTCTATTAGTTTGGAGATGGTCGATTTTCATGTTTAGATCTAAACTCTAGTTAACGTCTTCATATAAGTTAGATGAATATTTTTTTTACTTCTTATGTTTCATTTGTTCAAAATCAATTTTTATCTCTTGCCTAATATAACTTTTAGGATGACACTGTGATGGGGACTTTAACAGTGAGAGAGAATTTAAACTTTTCAGCAGCATTACGCATGACTGTTCGCTGTACAACCGAAGAACGTATTCAAAAGTTAACGATATTATAGATGAATTGGGTCTGAATTCTGTTGCAGACAATAAAGTAAGTATTATGCATACATATATACGAATGCATTCATCAACAGTAATTTACAATAATCAAAAAGTTATCACCGTGGAATAATATTCATTGAGAAAACTCTTTATAATATATTGATTTACTTCATAATACACAAACCTTTACCCTGTAATTTGTATTAAAACTGAACAGTCATACTTGACTGACACATACAATACTGTTTGAGTCGTGATTATTAATTCAATCTCGAGATAATCGAGAAGAAGGCAATTAAAACGCTGTTAACAAGCAGTTTACCAGCAACGCTTTTATGTAATGGGTACAAGCTACTGTATCTTTGAAAAATGGAAGTATGGCTCATTTCCTTAGATACTAAAACTTAGCGTAATAAGTCCCGAGTTCAAACATAATTCTGTCTACTTATACTTGGACAACCAGTGAGTGCCACTAGCAGTCCCACAGGAAGCCGATCTTGTAATCTGACAATGAAGCAGCTGTTCGATCGATGAGTTTCAGCAGTTTAATGGTTGAGCAGTTCTAACTGTTGAATTACTTATGGACAAACTGTTCGGATAATCGTACAGATTAATTCTCCTATCGGGCTGAACAATTAAGTAGACTAAACAAATCTATTACTTCAGCTTATTGGTCTATGCCCAAAACTTTGGTATAACCAGTTATAAAGCATTAATGAGGGTCAATTTAGATTTATTTTCAAGTCTGTTTATATCCTATTAAAAAGAAGCAAAAAAGATTTATTTGGATGCTGTAGCTTGTAAGTCTCTGTCGCTGATTGAACCGAACTGACTGCCAACTACTGGCATATGGGCTCCTGTGCGGATGCCTCGATATTGGCGGTATTTCAGTCTTAATATTATTGGTAGGTGGGGGCTGACAGTGGAAGCCAGGACATGCTTCTCGTCGATGAGGTTTCTTAAACGATGGAGATCTACAAACTGTAGTATCAGAACTAGAACATACACGTCTCAAAAGGAGTGGCTATCGTAACTCACTGGCCTGGTGGATAACTCCCTGACTTTTGAAGTGCTTGGTTCTGAGTTCGAGTCCTGTTGAGAACAACACCACTCACTAGGAGATGCATTGATCCACCAGACGATTCTCAACTAGAACGAAACGAGAATCCTGGACTCCACTGTAGACTACCATTCCTCATTAATATCGAATAAGATTTAAGTTTTGATTGTTCATGGTGCAAACCACGAAATACTCTATGGGTTTTAAACTACTGTGTAGCTAATGTTCCTTCAGTATAAACGCGTTTTTATAGCTGAAACTTTTGATGTTCAGATATTTATCGGCAGCTATAAAACAGCAGATTATACACAATTCCCTTGAAAGATTTGAACAAAACAAGAGCAGAGACATTTACAGAATAAAATGCACAAATTTTATTCCACGGCTTCTCATCAACTGCAAACAGCTTGAACTCATAATCCAAAAGTGAAATTCCCGAATAATTCAACTGTTTCACGCAGACATCAAGTTTAAATCCATAGCATACCAGCGGATCAAAGAAATAAGGAGACAATATAACAGTGAGATATCTAAAATCAGTGTTTATACACACATATTACATAGTAAAGGTTCTAGAGACAGGAAGAAAGGAAGGCGTTACGAAAAAACTCATCCACTGGAAATCCAAGAATGAATTTTGATCAAGGAGTGAATGTCATAAGAGAATTATGAACAGAATAAAGTGGATATTATACAATGGAACTAAAGCTTAGTTACTGTGGTAGAATGAAGTTAATCGTACTATCTTTCTACATACACAAGTTAAGATGTAATTGTCCAGATACATTTGTTTCTAAGAAAAAAAGTAGAGTGGCTATCCACTGTGTGTTAATTGTTTTGAAATAATTACCCTCCTCATCTCTTCTTTCATTATACATTAGGTGCTTGCCAACCAAACCCTTAAAAGAATTCCTCTAAAACGTGAACTTTTAGTCATATGTTCCGAAAATATAGTTGATATCATTCTTTTATCTCTTCCTACGTACTTGCTGTTCAGAATTGTAAACTTATGAATGCAGCTGGAGATAATATGAGCAGGATATGTATGTGTCTACTTCGGACTGAGTTAATGAACGGTTTGTGCTGTGACGTTAGACCAAGGTAGCTGCCTGTAAGGTCTTTTTTAGTGTACCTTGTATCCTTTTCTCAGTTTCTGCTGACACCTTGAATATGTATTTCAGAAAAGCTTCTTGTTGTCTGTCTTAAATACCCTTCACTATCCCGTAAATTGTATTTCCTCTACAGATCTAAGAATATTCCGTGTAAAATCATTTGGTTGGCTGTAACTGACCATTTATTAATGAAATTTGGATGTTCGTGGGGACTCATTTATTAAATTCATTATGGACTGAAATCAGTTAGAGAACTGTTGGAAAACCGGGAGCACTTGGCAGCTGTTTTGTCCCAGTATGAAATTTCTCAGCAGTGTGCACCCATCACCTCACCAGAGATGCCGACCAAGGGGCTAAATGGTAACATTCTGGCCATGGAACCTAAAGGTCTTGGGTCTAACGCCTGGTGGAGTCATGGGTGCGCAATACTGAGGAGTCCAACACTAAAGAAAAACAGCTGCCCGAGCCCAATAGTCCTCCGGCTGGTGTCAGTCTTTGATGAATATTGACCCGAGATATTTATCAAGGCGTTTTTTTATACCAGATAATACTTATCTATTTTGTCAGTAAAGATATAACTTAAAGTCGTAATCCTCAATCATGTACTCTGACATCATTGAAAATGATAGATTTTTTTAAGTAGCATACAGATTTCCAACACATTCAACACATTTAAGTTTTGAGTCACTGTACCGTTTACTGATTTGTCCTACAAAAATAAGTACTGATAATAAAGTGGTGAAGGTTTCGCATTATGTGCTAGGAACATTCAGTAAGCAAGTAATGAAGACACAAAGTTACTCATCTTCAAATAAAAATAGTTTACATTTTTAACTGGAAAGCATTTATATCAGTCATTTAACCTTGTCAATAATTATACTCTGAAGAGATATACCTCGCTGTAGTGTAATACAGTTGATGACTGAGACCTGTAATCAAAGCACACCTTTCATATTTTTTGATTAGATCCCAGTGAAAAGTAATGTTCACTATTATTGATAAAAGTAGCGTTATTAAGAACTGAAAAACTGCACAGGGTTGAATTGCTCTACCTCTGATGTTTACAGATAGCTCGTATACACGACGCTTCGATACTACCAACAGCAGAGGTCCAGCAATTCGGCCCTACATGGCAAACGGGAAATAAAAAGTATCATAGCAACAACTTATACTGGTTGAACATGAAGTGGCTATCGTCCATCAGTGGCTTAATAGATAAAGCTTTAGGGTCTGAATCGATGCGTACTGGGTTCCAGTCTCAGTAGGAGCAACATCACTCACTGAGGTGCAGGTACATTAGGTTGATGAATCCCAAATATGATGAAACGCGCATCCTGGATTCCTCTGCTAGTCACCAACTGAAAAAATTAATAATCCTAGAGAAACTTATAGATCAGCATAAAAGAAGATAAGTCAGCATTATTATCATCACCTAAAATTCAATTAGCAATGTACTGGAATAGCGCTCATTTGCTTACAGATAAAATTATAGGTAAGTTGCAGTTCTCTAGAAGTATAATGTTTTACCGTTTCTTCTGCAGTTCACGCTTGAAACCAATAATCAACCCCTACAGTACTTGAGTCAAATTCGTACTGTCATTCAAGTACTATACTCTTTGAAATCAATATAATGATCTTGGTGGCCAGGAACGGAATTCAAGGATGCCCATTTCGTCCCATTTGGGACTCGTCAGTTAAGTGTACGAGCACCTTATTGAATGATGTTGCTCCCACTGAGACTCGAACCCAATACTAATAGCTTCAAACTTTAAAACATTATCTATATAGCTACTGGGTCACGAGATCCCCCACTTTTGCAACGGGTATCAGCTGTTGTTTGTTACTTGTAATTTCCTGTAGCTATTTTACTTCTAATAAAATCTTAATTTTATGATAAGCGTTCCACATAAATTATTAAACCGCCTGTAAAATTTGTGTCATTTGAGTAATTTCATCTTAATTCTTTTCAACTTTTACATGCTTAGGTTGGGACTGAATTAGTTCGAGGAGTATCAGGAGGTGAACGTAAAAGGACTAGTATTGGTATGGAACTGATCACGGACCCTCCAGTTTTATTTTTGGATGAACCAACAACTGGTTTAGATGCATATATGGCAGGACAAGTTTTGAAAACTCTTAAAGCGTAAGAAAAGATCATATGTCTTTTAAAAAGTATTATTCAATTTGTTTAGTGGGCCCGAAAGATCATACTGAGAATGTTTTACACTAGGTGTTTACTAGCAGCCGTTAGTTTTTTTGTATTACGTTTTGTACACACGTTTATGTACCAGAGTACTGGTATTTTTACCTTGCGTAAGTTTATGTTTCCGCTTCGATTCACACCAGTGTAATTTATCCCTTTATCCCAGTGGACTGAAAGCGGAATACCAGAGCTGAAAGTGTTTTTTTTAATGCACATATGGACCGATCGTCTTAACTGTTGGTCACATTCACTGACCAGTTTGGAACCTTACCAGTAGCTGCTAATTAATTGCAACACCTTACTACCTTGTGTTATTTAATATAATGGGTGTAGTGGAACCACTGTTTGACAAACTCAGTTTTGCTTTGAGATATGAAGCAGAGTATGAGTTAACCTTCAATGTATGGTTCCTTTTAGATCCTGCCCTGAGTTTTGTTCGATTATCAGAAGGTCACTTATTTTTGGCTTTTCGATAAAAATTTGCATAGGCTGCACACTTAAGTATAACAAAACATTGAAATGAAATATCATTCTGACAAGTCTACACCCTTTACAGAATACTAATTTATAATAAGACTGAAAACTATACTATTACATAAAATGATTGATTATGAATACAAGGTTTATTTAGTCTTTTAGACTCATACTTTTAAATCAGTTCACATCTAGGATGAATTGTAATGGTTCTAGCTAAATTTCGAGGTGTATACTGTGGGAACATTTATCATTGTAAAACTGTGGTGACGGAAATCATTAGTCTGAAATAGACTTCCAGTATGGAAACATTTAAATTACGTTTGTAACCGTAGAATGGGGAAGTTGAAGCAAAATCCTTATTACCGAATATTTTGGCTACTACCAAGATATAATTTTCCCCATGAGAATGGATGCGTAAACTCTGCATCCGTGATAATGAAACTGACAAAATGGTTCCAGTTTATAATGCACTAGTTAGTAGTTCTGCTTCGAGTGACTTTAAAGGCCACTCTAGCAATTGATGAGACAGTCATTTACATTCTTTTATTTTATGAAAAAGTAGTTTTCTAGGTGAAATACCAAAGTTTGATTGGTCATTTCAGCAGTTTCTAGGATGGTCTTTAAAGTCACTTCCTACTTTTAAGCTGTTACACTGTAGAATTATAGGGTTATTGTAATTCACAGGCATGTGAAAATGTAATAACATCAAGGCTGCAGTTACAGTTGGATAGTTAAAAATCATTTTCATAAGATCACTTTAATATCAGTTACTTAGTTCCTACTCAGTAATCGATAGATGACACTGTAGCCATTCCGGTAAAGTTATTAACTTCCAAGTAGCTGACACAGTAATTATGTGTATGAAAATGAGTCACGGTAAGTGACACATCTTCAACGCTCATTGAATCCAATGATTTTGCAAGTCACTCTGTGGCTTTTATCCTGCTGTTGAGGTGAATATGTTAACTTAAGCACTCCGTTCTAAACGTGTAAGTACAATTCACTTTTTATCCGAATATACTTACCGTCAGACAGAGGTAAGTAATATTATACATAAAATCTGGCATGACTGCATTTTCGTCAATGTTGTTGCACTTCATATAAGTATTTCAAGCAAGAATGCACTAAAATGAAAGATGAAAAAATAAAGAAAGTAGTCAAAAGTGGTAGAAAGTTGTGATAAAATGACAAGAAAGAATGAGAAATTACTGAACTTAGTATGACGACTGAGATGAAGGTAATGTGTGTAAGCATTCGTGCCACAATCTGGTGCTGAGTTATATAACCTAGACTCTTCCACCAGTGGTTTATGTTATCACATGAATCCCAAACAGGAGACCTACATTTCCATATGTATTTCAGACTAAAATCCAAAGATTTCATGCACTGATATCATGTTTCAGTCTGGCCACCCCTAGCCCTTTTCTGGCCTGAGTGTAACAGTATGTGAAGAGGCAGATAGTCACTAAGCATATGTAACACATGTTTCAGCCATCTCAGTCAATGAAGGTTCACAACCGCATAAATTAACTTTTCTCTCCTCCCTAAACCTCTACACCTGACTTCTACGTTACTGACGCGGTGACACCAAGACACACGACTTAAGCTACGAACATAACGACAATCCAATGCCTGAAGCCTCCTCCTATCTCCTACCTTTAATGGCTATGTTTCACACCTAGGTATAAGAACATAATGATCTGCAATGCAATGCTGTCAGCGCTGGACAGAAAATAGGATATCACGGCAAAATTTTAAATGACCTAAGGCGGTGAAGGTGATGAGAGCTTTTTGTATGGATGCAGGGATTTTCCCGGTCATAGGTCCACCAGGGTTGATCCGACTTTCCAAATAAGTGTACTGGTCAATTCGCTCAGCCGCTTCACTCTCAACTGTTAAAAAAGACACCAGTCTTGGGGCAACAATCAACATCTGAGGTGGCGAGAAATGCATCCCTAACACTCTCAAATTACCATTCACGGTTTCTAGGTCTTCATCTAACGGGACTATGTAAACTGCACGGTCGATATTTGCTAAGGCTTCTCTAGTGTTAAGATCAATTCTTGTGAAGCTAGAGAACAAAAAGGAGACCACCACAAGTATGCCTTGAATAAAGTCGAATAAAAATGAATAGAGTGAGCATGCTTGATGGACACCGCTCGACATTCTTAACTCACCTGGTAACTCACCATAGACTCTAACACCCTCACGCCTGTTCGAGTGAAAAGCCTTTGGCAAAGTGGTGTACTTACTAAGCACCCCTTTCAGTGAGAGACTACCATAATTCCTCTTTATCAGAACAGTTGAAAGTTGCCTTCTGGTTGAGAAATACAGTTAATGTCGGGCGTCGATGAAAGTACCTTTCTTTCAGAAACTGTTTCTTTTTTTTGGGGGGGGGATGAACATCTGGGCGATATACTCACGGCCAGATCTGATACCTGCCTACTTATCTCAGCTTTGTTGTTTCCGAACTCCAGTTAAAGGTCTAATGATTATCGTGCCTAAGAAACCATGTTTGTTAGGTTAGTTTCCTTGTAGCTATCATGTGAAGACTTATCCCTTTTGTTGAAGTCAGGGATGATCGGTGGTTGAGACCAGTCAGGGGGGATCATATTTAACTCCCACACACTAGCTGGCACCTCAGCTAACGAGACCAGCAATCGATGGCCTCCCTCCTTGAATACCTCGGGTACCAATCCGTCTGGCCCTGCTGCCCTTTCTAGTTTCATACTTTTCACCAGCTTCTCGACTTCTGTAAGTGTTCCATTCAGGATTTGAGTGGATAAAAGGCAAAAGGACAGTAGCTGGAGATTGGCTGAACTGTAACTTAGAATGTTCCGTTTATATTTCGTTTCATCTCCATGAGATTGACTCGTACATCTATCCTTCTCCACTACAGTCTTACTGACCATCGACTTTTCTGCTCAGGTTCTCTTGGTAAGTCTAAACAACTGTTTACTGTTACCCGACGCTAGTGTCTTTCCTATATCCTCAGAATTCTCTTGACTCCGCTGTTTTCTGTCATTGAGTAGTCTTCTCATTAGTCTACATTTTTGGTCCCTTCCATTCCTTATTGGTCTCCAAGCCGACAAGAGTGCTTCTACGCGTATCCATCAGTTCTGAATAAGTTGCTGAGGTAACCTACCCTTTTCTTACTACTATTTGAGGGTCGGCTTTGATGGTACTAGGCTTCTTCGGCATGAGTGATGTTCTCTTTGAATAACTGCCTAACCAAATTCATACAAAAAGCAGCCCTAGTATTTATATTGTGAGGCCGCATTCGCGATGGTCTTGTTGCTGTAGTTTTCCCATTTCAATCTATGCACTGACATGCACGTGCTCGGACCAAGACATGGTGTAGTCAGAACGAGTGGTTCTCCCCCCACTGACCCTCCCAGGAGATAACTGATAACAATATAGTCTATCTCTGTCTATCACCTAGATGGGGTTTCCGAAGTTTGTGACAACCAGGAAAAGATAGTTATCTAAGCCCAGTTGAAGCAGGCTACCACCATAATCTGCTAGTTCTGCTGGGGTTCCGAAAGTGCCACCTAAGTGCTTTTCTGCCTGACTTAGACTGTCAACTTGCGCATTGAAATCACCTGCAACGACAACCACATCTATACATTTAGCTTTCATTAAGAGGCTGCATAGTTTTCGGCAGAAATCATCATTCGTTTCATTCAAACTGAAATCACTCAGTGAGTAGGCAAAGATAACAAGGAGGCCACAGTGTTTCACTATTCTTTATAGTCCTCATTATGCACTTCGGTTGAACAGTGCATAAGTGACTGTCAGCTGAGATCCAGTCGAGAAGTACACTTTCTCTCTTAGCAATTAATGTTATACTTACACGTGGAAGACTAAGAAAACTAGCCACTGGATCTCCCGAAAGTTGGACGGTAAATTTTGCAGATTCATCATATTGGCTGAGATTAAATGAATAAACGCTCTAGGGTCCTGAGTGCATACCTCACAAATCTTGAGTACATCAGTGGCCGGAAATGCCAGGGTTTGATCAGTGAAACTTGTTGGCTGGTTTGTAGGAGGGTGTAATGAAAGCCGTAGTGTGTAGGTTGGAGCGTGGTTTCAGGAGACTAAGGTTGCTGTCTCTTCAGCTCGAGTCGTCATCAAAATCTGCAGAGCTGGAAGAAATTAAAGATGACAGGAATATTGACCGAGAGACGTGAGGAACGATGAGAAATTAGAAGTTTGGAAGGTTGAGACTGATGTGAAGGAACTTGAGTACTTACAGAGTTGAGAGGGCGGTTGACAATTTCCAGCTGCCCACAACATGAGGAGCCATTTCTTTTTGAGGTAACTGAAAAAAGTAAATGCTGGCCACACAGCCCAAAGGTTACTTACATGAAGTCGTTTAAATAGTTCTTAATAGAAGCTCGGGATTTTAGTTTACTTTACTCGAATCCAACTGCGAACTCAAATCGCTAGTAGCGGTATAACATAGGTCAGGGGAAAGTGTGCTATTTTTAGGTCCTTCTTATGGTGACCATTCTTCCAATTGGGAAGGCAGCACCAACTTGATACCGAAAGTCACTCTAGGAAACACCTTAGTGCTGTCACACTCTATGAAGCTAGTAGTACAACTTGGCCCACGAATCTCGATCATAGAGTAACTACCTACACTTAAACTATAACTGCTTTTTGTCTGACCACTATCCAGATGACCTTTCTGGGATAGTTGGACCTAAAGGAAACAAGCGTTCTGCTAGCACAGTTCATTTGGGTCGTTATAATGTCCAAGACTACTCACCACCATACATTAGAAGCTACGGTTGCGATTTTTCATTCATCAAGTAAAAGAATCTAGCTCATGCAGTTAACAGTACAAATTATAATAATTTCAGGCTGGTATTCATCATGGAGTGGAATTAGTTGGAGAAACGCTGGAAACTTGGGGGCACTGGACGGCTTTTCTCTCCTAGTATGGGACTCCTCAGCAGTGCGTATCCATGGTCCCACCTGAAATCGAACCCAGGACTTTCAGGTTCTGCGGCCGGCACGTTACCAGTGAGGCACTCGGTTGGAGTCCACTGTTGTATATTTCCTAATTCTATCAGTTCACGATATAACGCGAACTCTATCCAGTGCCATCTCCGAGAAACTGTTCTCATGTTTGACTTGGTTGGCCCCACCTGTCACGACTTCCCACTGGAACTTCGGAAATCATCTCTCGAAGCTAGTCACCAACAAGCAATAGATTAATTTGATTGTGAGGTTTGTGGAGATTTGTTGGTTTCAGGCTAGTATTCATCAAGGTTTCCGATATTTCTCCGACCGATATCAGTCCATGATGAATATCAACCTGAAATCTATAAATCCCCCACCAACCTCAGAATAATAGTAATGGCAATAAAATTGAAAAGGTGAGTGAAAAAGAATAGCCATCTGAAGATTGGTAGCTAGGGATCGGCTTTAGATGACAATGGTTGCATCAAGTCTGGGAGTAGAAAGCCACGCAGGTTACAAAAAAAGATAATGAAAGGAAGAAATAGCTAAAGTTTCAATTTAAGTGTAATTCGTATTTGAAAAAGGGTGAGAGAACTTAACAACAGTGGAAACTGGTAGAGAAAAGGTCACTATTTAAGTTTCGCTTGGTTGAGCAAGGATTTAAACACATTTTATAAATGCATATGGTGGTGATGCTTATTCAAATGTCTGTTGCCTTAGTGATATGAAAGAGTCACATCAGAATTGTGTGTGAATAATTCAGTTGGATTTCATAAATCACATTAAATCCTTTTATTTTGTTCATTGCATGAGTAGAATCAATCCGGTGAAACAAAAATATTCATGTTCACTTTTGGATTTCAAAGTAAAGCTTGATGCCAAGGTTATTGGAAACAATGTTAATCGTTCATCTATCTTATTACCATTTTTACATCAGAGAAATCAAAAAGTAGTGGAAACATAAATTATTTTATTGAAATTTAATCTGTAAAATGGATCTTAAAGAAAAAAATTAAACACATACCTTTTTTGGCTTCATTAAAAAACTAAATGTTAATATATGGTGAAAATAATGAAAAAAAATGTGTAAATGTATGAATGATCAAGTCTGATAATCCGCAATCGTTCTCTTGAGAATAAGGCCATCCATTCACTTCACTTCAAGCAGATTGTGAAGAAATCCAAACCAAGAGTTATAGATTAGGAATAAATAATGTGGTTAGTGAATTAGTGAACCAAATGAAAAGTTGTTTCTTTCAAATATATATTATCAAAACATTAACTGAATTCAAGCATGTTTAGTCAGTAAAACTATCTGAGTAAATTCCAGAAGGTTAAGCATTTAAGTATTCATTTGATTATTTAACTCTTGTCACATCAATAATATGTTTAGAAACGTTTTTCAATCACATTTTTCTACTTGATAGAATATGCAAATTATGATACGTAACCTCAAATCACTTAATTAACACCTAAGTTCATATATTAAACTGATAATTTGTTAACCTTAACTTTCATTCTGAAATCACGTTTAGTCGTTTGTAATACAGGGTTTAATAAGAACGTAGGGTTTCAGCGAATATATCATAAACCGAGAGCCGTTCTCAATATGTTATCGTATAACTCTAAGGAAAAAGTCATGTTTATGAAACTACTAACTTATTTTAATCTTGTACTGAACAACAAACATAGCTATGAGAGCAAAACTTTGGCACTATGGTTGACTGTAATTCCATTTCAGTTTGTTAATTAGAAATATCACACAGTGATGGGACAGTAGCGTTTACTGGATAAAGTTTCAGACACAATTTATTGTCCATATTCATTTCAGGTAACTAACTCCACAACTTCGAAATAGACTTTATATATTCCTAATTCTCTATCCTTCTCCGTGATGTCAAGGCTAGTAAAATTTTCCATATATCTGGGACAGGTGCAGAATCATTTCGATTGCTGCATGTATTTCGTGTTGATTCGGTAGACAATGATTCAGTCGGTTATCAAACTCTCCCTCCTTCCACCCAACTAAATTAGTTTTCAACACTGTCACTCTATCCCACCCTACTGTGTGATTGTGTGTCATTGTATGCAGAGCTATAGGTGAGCTTTTCTCTAGATTTCTTATCTTGTTAGGATCTACTCATCTTGATTTAGCTGAGTATTTGTGCTCTGTTATTCTGGTTTACCAGATCCCTTGCAATGGTTACCAGGTCAAGTATATAGGTCAAAGCAGTCAGTCTACCAGGGTCTATCAGAATAACGGAGCACAAATACTCAGCTAAATCAAGATGAGTAGATCCTAACAAGATAAGAAATCTAGAGAAAAGCTCACCTATAGCTCTGCATACAATGACACACAATCACACAGTAGGGTGGGATAGAGTGACAGTGTTGAAAACTAATTTAGTTGGGTGGAAGGAGGGAGAGACTGATAACCGACTGAATCTTTGTTTATCCAATCAACACGAAATACATGCAGGAATCGAAATGACTCTGCACCTGTCCCAGATATGTGGAAAATTCTACTAGCCTTGACATCACGGAGAAGGATAGAGAATTAGGAATATATAAAGTCTATTTCGAAGTTGTGGAGTTAGTTACCTGATATGAATATAGACAATAAATTGTGTCTGAAACGTTATCCAGTAAACGCTACTGTCCCATCACTGTGTGATATTTCTAATAAACAAACTAAAATGGAACAAACATAGCTAACATTCCAGTGTACACATTTTCCCCTTTCAGCGTGAAGTCGGATTTTAGTATTAGTTAATAGATTGCATATTGACTTTGTATTCATGTATTGCTATCACTAACCAAAATACTTTTTTTCAACTCTTACCTACTCATTATTAGGCTATCCAAACGCGGTAGGACTATCATCTTTTCTATACATCAACCTAAATATTCAATATACAAGCTTTTTGACTCCTTAACTCTAATCTATCGAGGTCAGTTAGTCTACCATGGGCCAGCAAGAAAAGAACCAATCCGTTATTTTGGTCGCTTAGGTGAGTAATTTGGTTACCCTTTCCTGCAATCAGGTTGTTTAAAATAATGACAAATTATAGTGAGTAATAAAATAATTTGAATTGAGTTTCTAATGCATTTTTGGATATCATGCAAGTAATTTCCAAACAGTTCAGTTTTACTGTATTAAAACTTCTTATCATTAGGATTCTAAAAGCTTTTCCGATTTCAAAATTAAGACTAGTATTCTTTCGTTGTCTCTCAACTAATTTGTTTCACCTGTCTGCAAAAAGTTAACTGGTTTAAAGGCTTTCGGTTTCGAATTAGAGGACATAGGGGTATCATAAGAGATTACTAAGATAAAGTGGAACTTCTGTTCTCTAATCTCTGGTATTTGCTAGCTGGTCAAACGCCAATTACTTCAAAATTACGGTACAGCAATACAAGGATCATCACTTTACCTAATTTAAGCATTAGTTCCGGGTTGTTATTCACGGTGAACTGACATGCGTTATAGAACCGCTAGAAACCTAGGGGCATTGTACGGCTGCTTCGCCCTAGTATGGGACTCTTTAGCAGTGCATACCCATGATCCTACTAGGGATGCTAATCCAGTGGCTCACTGGTTACATACTGGCCGTGGAAACTGAAGGTGTTATCCCTGGTGGAGTCATGTGTGTGCACTACTGAGGGGTCCAATACTGTGATGAAACAGTTGTTCAGTGTCAATAAGGTTCCAATAGTTCTCCAAACGCTGTAAATCCATGATGAATATCAACCTGAAATCGTTAAATAAACCCCCACAAACCTCCAAATTCAATGTTATTGTTGAAGTTACTTTATTTGCCATACATTAAAATAAAAAGTATGTGACAACCCATTGAAATACTACTCAATTTTCATTGAAGACTAGTTTTCAGTGGAACTTCCTGAAGTTCTACTGTGAAACCATCACCTGTGAGGTCAAGAAACTCCGTAATACTCACTGATGACACTGAATAACAATTGCTCCATACCACAAATCGACAAAAATAGAAAAAAGTAGAAATTCCAACTCGAACTTATTGGAGGAATAAAGATTAGCTAGCCATGAAACTGGGTGGTCCTGAAATAGAAAACACTGCTGAAAGCCATCAAGAAATCCAAAACTAGAATGAAACAGCTCATGTACATGCATCTTGAAGAAACCTATTAAATATACTCCAATCAATCTTCCTGTTCATTCGACCAGTTAAAAGATATGAATAACAGAGAAATGTGACTCTATATTATTTACATATTATTTATTTTCCCCTTCGGTTTCTAGTGTAACACAGGGCTTCAGTAGCACACCTACACTGCACTCTCTTCACTGCAGTCTTTTGGACGTGGCACGACGACTGCCCAAAACCTTTCATTTCTTCCTCACACAATCTCCTCCATGTCACCCTCACCTCGGACGCCAAACTCGTCGTTTCCCCCTTCGGATTCCACTCTAGTGCCTGGCCTGGGGCGTGATGTCTCTGAATGGTCTCCTCAGTATATGCCCAATCCAATCCATCTCCACTTTCTTCTGTATATTTGTTGAGTGATAGGTTCTTGGTTGGTTCGTTGCCAAGCCAGAGTTCCATGTTGCTTATTCTTTCTGGCCTTCTGATCTGATCTTCAGTAACGAGTGAGCGTAGGAGACAGCTGTTGATGTGATGTATGTCTGTAGTTTGTTGGAAATGCTTTTCATGACGTGCCAAGTTTCTGAACTATCATATAAAAGCACTCAAATGATATTGGTATTGCGAATCTGGATCTTGTTCTTTGTGTTCAGTGAAGTGCAGTAGATCTCCACACTGATTTCAAATTAATGAATGCCCATCTTGGTTTTCTGATCCTGGTTTTGATATCCTCGTTTAAGCTACCTAAAGTTGAAACAGTGCTGTCTAGATTAGTGAAAGAGGCTACTTCTTCTAAGTTTCTCCCGTTGATGGTGATTGGAGCTTGTTATTGTTGGTGGTATTGATTGGGTATCTTCATCACCTCCATCTTCTATACGTTCACTTGATGTCACGTCTTCGCTGCCCTGTCTCCTCTGTCAACTTGTTAGTCTTCGCCTGTAGATCTTCGAGTTTGTACCACAAGACATTTGACATAAATCATCATTGGAGAAAAAACACAAATCTTCTGTGGTCTTTTCATCGGTGCAGTCTGCGTATGTCCATCTTCTCACAGCTCCTCACAGTTGTTTCTTGCATGATCCAGTCCAGTCTAGTGGACCACAATCAGGATAGTGGGGGGCATCCTTGTCTTACTCCTGTTGCCTGTCTTCACTTCATTTCAGGGGCGTCACTGAGCTTCCCATTGTGAATTACTTGGCATGTGGTGTCTTCATATAGTTGTTGAATGAGGTTGATACAGTTTGTGGCACTAAAACCGTGGTGTTGAAGCAACTGCTTGTCAAATTACTTCTCGGTCGATGCCTCCATCGAAGGCCGGCCCTTTCCAATTCGATGAAGTTGAGGTAGAGATTCAGTTGACTACCATGTTATACTCTGTTCTATGATGATGCGTGGTGTGCGGTTTCAATTTGGTCTGCACATGATTTGTTCTTCCTGAAGTCAGCCAGCCAGCCAGCCTGTTCCGGTCGTAATTTTGAATCCGGAGCATCTTTTAGTCTCTCCAGAATGAAGCAGCATAATATTTTGCTTGGGGTGGACAGGGGTGGAGCATGAGTTCTCGCGAGTTCTTGCAAAGATGTAGGTCTCGTCTCTTTGAGAGTTTGACAAAGTACCCTTTCTTCCAATCTGCAGGCACTTTTCCTTCCTTCCTTGCAAACCTTCTGCAATAATGTTGTGAACATGTCACCTGTCGTCTCTATGTCTGTTCTCAGTACTTCTGGTGGAATTCCTTCTGGTCCTGATGCTTTCCCGCACTTCAGTAGCTTTATGGCGTTCAAGGCTTCGACTTTTGTTGGAGGATTTGTGTTCACTGGTAGTTCTGTGGCTAGACTGCTGGTGGTGTTTCTGGACGAGTTGCAGGTGGTGGTGGTGGTCGATTCAAGAGCTTTCTCAAGTGGTCAGTCAATCGTTTCCTTTACCTCTCTTCTTTGCCAATTACATTTCCTTCATCATCTTTTATTGGTTCCATCTGTGTTGATCTCTTCTCTCCCAGATAGTGACCTGGTTATTTGATATAATGTTGTCAGGTCTCTCTCTCTCTGTCCTACCTGCAGCCTGTTCTGCTTCACTTGTCAGTGTGTCGTGTAAGTGTCTTTGTCTTTTTGTGCACTCTTCTTCACTTCTCTGTCGAGTGTTTTATACATTGTACTCAGTTCGTCTTTTCGTTGTGCATCCTTGCACTGGTTTATCTTCTGCTTCACTACCCTCCTCTCCTCGTTCTAGCAGCTTCCATGTCTTCGTCGAGATCTATTCCTTGTCTTATTTCCTCTTTCTTCTTAATACGGTTAATACTGGAAAGGCTTCAAAGAGGTGACTGATATATTTAAGAGGTAACACAAAAGTTGTCTATCTAAAAGCTCTACCCTCAAGATACTGAGTTCTTAATTAGCTGTTAGTTCACCATCGTAGCTACGAAGTCATTTACTCTGACCTATAAAAATGAATAGCAAATTATCTCATATCAAATCTATCTTGCAATCGACTGAAGGCAGTCATTTGTACACATTTATAATCAAAAATATAGTGAAATAATAAAGTATTTTTCCTATTGTTTTAGGTTACATTTGTGAAAACCATAACAATCCACCAGATTTCTTTATGGATGTTATACATGGTGAATGCTTACGCCAGCGAAAAAACTCAATAGGTAATTAAATACATGTTCAGTAGATGAATATTATCATTTGACTGTCTCAGATAACCATAGTTTGGTAGACTAGTATATATACTAGGTGGTGGTCCGGTGATCTGGTAATCCGACGTGGTCCAAATTTTCATTTCACCTTCAATCATCACCCAGTATAAATGAATATGGCTGAGACTTGTCCCGGAATTCGAGGTTAACGTTGTTATGTAATATTAGCAACTTCAGTATCAGTGCTATTAGTAGTAGCACCAAAGCTCTACCCTTCTCAAGTTCATAGAGTTGCAAGTAAAGTGAACAGATAAATGAACCTTTTGTCAACAATTAGACATTTATCACTTCTTAAAGATACAATTTAATTCAGTATCTCCTAGACAATACAGAAATCAGTCAGCCTTTTGTGTTGAATTTAACCATTATTCAGCTTCACATAAGCCTTTCGTCAGTAACTTGTATCCTTTTAGGTCACTTCTTTAGCAAAGATTATCTCAAACTATTTTATAACCTAAAAGATACTCTCAGTTGAAACTTATGTCATCTTCAGCTAAATATTTTAGTGTAAGCAAAACTCACTTCCCTAACCAATAAAAATTTTACAATTTCTCCTCCAAACAGATGTATTTTATCAACTGAATTCCAACAGTGTTAAGTACAACTCTTTCAGAATCTGAACTGTTAAAAACACTTCTATACTAATAAGAATAAGTTTCAATGGGGTGTTTTCAGTAATCTGGAAGATTTCACTCAGCGTAAATCTTCTGGTGTATTTGATAGTCAGAGTGAAAAACAATTTTTAGAAAATGATGAACAGAGAGTCCTGTTAAAACCATTGAAGTGTTACTAGGCATGAGTAATAAAACCAGAATACACTGAGTAAAAATGAAGCATATTATTAAAGTGAACTGAAAGGTACTATAATTTAGTCAGACTATTTTATTACCCAATGGCTGATATTTTTCCATTGGCGGTTATTACAACATTGTATAAGGTGTATTTTCACTTGTGTAATCCCGCGGTAGTATATTAGAACAATAAACAAAATAAACAAATATTTTTTATGATTCCTCAACGTTTCGATCTTGCTAGGAAGATCTTTTTCAAGAGTATGAAGCTGATACTAAGTTTTCAAGTTGTTATTCATCGTGGACTGACATCAGTTGGAGGAACAAAGAAACCTAGGAGCACTGGGCAGCTGTTTCGTTTTACTACGGGACTCCTTAGCAGTGCGCACCCATGGCCCCGCCAGGGATTGAACCCGCGACATTGAAGTTTCGGTACGGAAGATGGTGACCTTTAGAGTCATCCAACTACATCGTTACATGGAGCAAAGATCAATGTAATACAGGTGAGTGAATAAGCAAATCGGTCAGAGAGGCTTGTTTCAGTTGTGCGAGTAAGGTCGAACAAAAATAGGGTGGAGAAAATTTTAGTTCGTGTATGAAAAGTACAATGAGGTTGTGAGACATCAAGGGTGAGAAAGAATAGATTACTAGTTTTGAAGGATCAGTGTTTGAATATCAGACAATATATGATAAAAAAATAGTAACAATGATAACGATAAATGTACTTTTGATAACACTTGAAGTATGGGTGATAACAAAATGGATTATAATTTGACCATCTAAGCCGTAGTTTGGCAGACCAGACCAGACCGGCCGCAGTCCAGATTTTCATCTCACCTCCAATCATCACCCAGTACAAAATGGATTACGTTATGTATAGAATGGTTCATAGAATGTATATAACTCAGAAAGCAGCGTAAAATTGATGGAAATAGTAGATCAATAAAGTGATATGTAATAGGAATAGATAAGTTGCTAAAATGCAACCAATATTTTTTGACGCGGTCAAGACGATTGAGCGAAATAACACCGGAAACTATTCAAGCACGAGTAAATTCGGAATAAATCATGTTGACTGAAGCTGTGTTCTACCTTCTCTTCATATATTATTTACAACTGCGTATGCGAGTCATTAATGTTCGCCATATTAGTGAGATGTCTAACCCTTCTTTTCTGTTGACCGAAGAAGGATACTAACAGATGTGCAAAGCTTCTGCAATGGTTCGCTCTTTGTGAGAAAGAAAACCCTTTTGCAGGAGTTTCGTCTGTTCGAATGATATTTTATGACCTGAATATAGGGCATGAGCTGCGATAGCAGAGCTTTTTCAAGTTTTTTTTAGATCATAGGAATTTTTTGGTGGTTTTTTGGAACTTCTACCGTGTTCGGTTAGACGTGTTAGTACTTGACGTGGCGTCTCTGTGTTTATAAGGTAGACTGTAGTGAATGCGATACCACATGCATATAAAATCATTATTACAGTTACCTTTACTAATTTTTTAAACTCTATTTTCGGTTAAGATTGTTTGTTCAAAAGCTAATATTAGGTTTCCATAGCATCTAGTTACTATAACTATGTAACTTATATACCGCGTATCTAGTAACACACGTGTACCTGTTTATCAACTTATACATACATCTCCTGCTGCACTAATAATTGAAGACTAAAGCCTTTAAACCAATTCTTTTATATTACTCAGTTAAATGCACAAGAGAAATAAATATTTCTCTCTCTTAAATATGACTCTTAATATGACCAAGATTTGACCGAAGAGTATCGTAAATACTGGACACTTAGTAATAGGTTAACATTAAATATAGTTTATATTTGTATAAGTCACAGCCCGTTTGAAATAAAATAATCCCAAGTTTCGCTTGGAAGTCTGGTTTGAGCTTCTTCAGGGAAAATTTTATTATTTCATCACTGCCCGAATTAAAAAATTTGCATGACAACGTAATAAAACTGAGTATAAAAATAATAGGATATGGTTTCAAAGTGCAAACACTCAAACATTCTGAATTAGAAGTCAAGAGCGACTTCAATAGCCACCCTAATAACGGCTGTGGTAACCAATTATGTTTCTTAATTTTATGAAAAACCACCTTTTCAGCCGAAGTGTCGAATTGTGATTGGTTACCTCACTGGTTGGTGGGAGGGTCTTTAAAGTCACATGAAGCTAGTTTACAAAAAACTACTTCTATTTTAATCTGCCTATTGGATGCGTAATACAGTGAAACAGTATTATTTACTGGATTACGTTTCGGACACAATTTATTGTCCATAATCATATCAAGATAAGTCTGCAACTTTGAGACATGGTTTATATCTTTATTAGTATCTCGCCTTCTGTGTGATATAGGTAGCAGAATTTTCTATGCATCCAGAATAGATGCTGAGTTGTTGCTGTTGCACATATTGAGTGTAGATTCGATTAACAAAGATTCCGGTTTTAGTCTCTCCCTCCATCCTGCTATGTTAGTTTTAAGGATGGTCACCTTGTCCCAGCCTAGTGTTTAGTTGTGTGTAACTGCATGGCTAGCTGTGGCCGAGTATTTTTCTAGACCCTTGATCTTACTGGGTTCTACCAGTTTCGATATAGGGAGGGTTTTGTGCCCAGATATCCTAAATGATCCAGGTCAACTGCTTTGACCTTTACATTTGACCTTGCAACCACTGTAAGAGATTTGACAAGCTAAGTTATTCTACCTAGTTTGATCAATGGGTCCGTCTAGTCTATGAAGCTTATTTCTAAGCTAGTTTTTCAGTTTCATTGCCACCCGAATTCCAGACCTATTGAAAATTCCTCATAACGCTTCAGAAATGCTTTCTTTATAAGATAACACTGTAGAGGCTTTGAAGTTTCTCTACACACTGACCATTATTACCTACTATTATTATTATTACTAGTAATGGGACCATTGTTAATATCTAAGTTATTACTACTGCTCATATTTTTCTCATGACCTCTCATGAATTTGTTGATAAATTCAGATTAATAATTATTCAGACGCAGGGCATTTTGAAAGTGTCCAACGTTTCTCTCAGATTATTTTTATTACTAGCAAGCTCTTTTGTTCTGTTGTTTAGACTTTGAACCGGGCCTACTTTAACTGAGTTAGGATGAAATGAATTAAAGTAACGACTCGAATGAGAAGGTTTCTTAAAGAGACAAGTCTCTAAACTTCCATCTTGCCTTCGTTCAGCCTTGTAATGCAACATTGTTAACCCACCTTCATCACTTTCAAAGTCATGAGTAAATAAGATGGCATCCACGACTGAATTTATGTGAAGAACCTACTGACCATCTAGGATATCGGAGCATGCATACATGTTACGACAATCTGAATATGATAGTAAATATATTGTTTAGCCGGTGATCAGTAGTCATTATAAATCTATGCAACGTGACGGCAGTATGAATCATAATGTGGAATAAGGTTACACAATACATGTAGTCCCTTATTGCGTAATGCACAAGGCATTACATATTAAACAAAAGAGAAGAAAGGCATGGCATAGTCAAGTTATCAAAACATGATCCATGCAGAAAACGGTTGGAGTGACATCATACTAAGCACAGTAATAAATCATAAGTACCACAGTGAGAATATAATTATTTACAGTAATAAATAGTCATTACTGCTTTGTTGCAGTAAGGAGTAAACTGGAAAACTTTAAGTTTAGATTATTTTAGGTATGGAAACTGAAGCAAAATCTAAGGGTCTAAAACATTATTTCGTTTATGGCTGAACAAGGAAGAAATAACAACTAAACATGTTTCTTTTTCAATGTCCACTTATGGCGTCATCAACCATACCACTTCAGTGGCAACTCTATGAAGAAGATTTAGGTGAATTGCCTGCGTTATTCATTTTATAACCTAGAGTATCCTAGAAAATACTATTTTGGCATCAGTGTAGGGGTCTGCGCTTATCATGTATGCGAGTGCAGGATTTCATTGATTTCCGTTTAACCTTTCCGAATTCATAAGACAAGTATTTCCATATCCCCAGATGGACAAACTTAATCTTGCATCCTATTTCACTCTTCCCGTAGAAACAATAAGATTGATTTATGCACAACTACGAGCTGGAATTCTAGGAAGCACTGTTTCAACTACAGGCGCCACAGGCACAGACGAGGATGTCAAAGTTAGAATAGG